GCACTATCTTCTTGGTGGAGAAAATCTGGCCTGCAGACATAGAAAAAAACACAGATGGATGAAAACAATTCTGTAATCAAGATTGGATATTGGAGGTACCCAAGTAAACTGACATGGAAAGACTAAATTGTGGAAGAACTTCAGATACAAATTTCTAAGTCATTTTATATTTTTAGGTATTTATAGTCCATGTAAGATACATTTAACTTTCTAGGTGATTTAACCTACATAATGTATGGCGCTCCAGACAGAGCATGAAAACAGCTTATATTCCTGTCTTTGTAATGTGGATTTGTCATAACCAAGAGTGTGGATCAAAATTCTGAGAGGCAGTACCTCTAACATGCAAATAAACAATGTAGGACAGTTTCTATGTTAATTGTCATGATTTCATATCTTGAATCTTGACCAGTCTAGACTTTATATGTACATAATGTAGTGTTTGTCAAACTTGGATTTCTTATTATTCTTTTTATATCCTGCTTTTTAAAAATCCCAAATTTGAAAAAACAAGCAACAAACAACCAACCGTAATTCTAGTGGTCAAGAATTTGTATTTATTTTTAGTTTTGCTTTTTGCTTTGTTTCCAATTACTTTCATAAACTGCTTTCCATAAGCTGGAAACTAGGCTAGATCACTTTCATATTTTCTCATGTATTATTCAGTCTCACAGGAGATATAATAGAGACAACAAAGGATCACATTCAATAAGGATGTTTGTATGCTTTTTTTTTTTTCAGGTAAAGGCAATGTCCTAAGAATATCTGTGATGTAGCACTCTCATCAGTTACTAAGTGCTCCTGAAACCATGTTTGCTCCTTCTTATTCAAATTATTATTGGATTTACCTGGAAGTTGTTAATATCTTTTGCATATATCTGTATGGGTATACCCCATTGCTATACATGTTTGTGCTCTATAAATGAATTAGTATGTTCTCATTTTACACTATCTTCTGAATTCTTTACTCATTATAGAATAATTCAGAAGAATAAAGAAATAGGTCTTTGCCATTTAAAAACATATGTTTGGAGAGACGAAACTTGCATGGAAAGATAATTTGAAAAGGAATATAAATAACAGCTTTTGAGCTACAAATGTAAATGGTATTGTGTTACAAAAAGAAGCAAAACACCTTCAGGGGCTATAAAGGAAGCATTTATAAAGTAATGGAAAGTTTAGTTAAGCCTGGAAGGAAATGAAAAAACAAATGGGTTGGTAGACAGTAGAAAGGAGTTTATTTAAGGGAAAAAGAGTATGTTCAGAATAAGAGCTGAGAGTGGAAAGCAGGGTGGCGATGCAGGGGAATGGCAGCAGAAAGCATTACGAAAAGGAGGGTTTGATTCTAGTAAAGTACAGGTTGCCCCCACCACCTGCCCTTAAAAGTGAAACATCTTCCTGGGCTGCTGGCACGATTTATATTAAAATGTTCATTAAATATTCACAAGAATAAAACAACACATACTTTCCTTATGATTGTAGCTTTTATTAAAATATTGAGCCAAAATTAAAGATAAATTATAAACAAATTGATGCATCATTAAAATGTTTATTTACTATGCATTTTGTTTTTACTGAAATATGTATCTCTATGACTGTAAGATGAGACACAGATTGCCACATATGTGTATGTATAACACTTTCTGCCTGTAGCTATACCATGTGATGACTCCATCCTCCCAACACTTTATTCAAGTGACCTTGAAACTTTTCATGTGTATTACCACATGGGGATGTTGTTTCATTTTCATTTGGCTGTAACTTGTCATTAACATATTATACCCATCTTGGTTCTTTTTATCATTTGGAAATACGGCCTTGAAAGCGGCTCTGAATCTATGAAAAACATAAACACTAACACTGAGATTGATCTTTCACATGATTCCAAATATAGTTTATTAATTTATATTGATTTTTGTGTCAATAAACACAATAATTTTAAAAATCTTTATTTAAGAAAAAGTTGATCTTTAGATCTCCAGAAATGCACCTCTTCCACCAACCCTAGTTTGAGAAACACTACATTAAGCAATTTTGGGATCTAGATTTAGAAAGGCAGGATCTGGTTAATGGAGCAATTCTTACTGCTCAGGCAAGAAACAGAGATCTGAATAAGTTCTAAATCAGGATGTTGACAAAAGAAAGTGAGCTTTAAAGAAGAGTAAATGAGTATCCATTTGTTGAAATAAGTCGGGAAAGATGATCCAAGAAATTTACTTGAAGGTCTGTTGTTAGATACTTGAGTGTAATGTTGCATGCTCAAGTGTATGAAGGTTAACAGGCGAAATGATGGTAATAAAGGAGAGAGGACACTTTTACAGGGGTGTGAGAAAGGCCAATTTGGGAAGATGATATTTCATTCAGTTATGCAGGATGAGAAGAAACTAGCTTTAAAGAAGAGTCTTGAAGCAGAGATACACACAGAGATCCTGAAACAGAATCAATCTGGGTATGAAAGAAGAAACAGAAAAAAAGGGAAGATCTGGGGAGTTTGGCATGAGATAAGGTCAAAGAAACAGTTATAAGGTATGAGAATTTAACACTGCAGCAAAAATGGTGATGAGGAAGGGATGTTTTAAGGCTCACCACTGAAGAAATGTAGACAGGAATTTGTGATAGCATATAATGAGAGAGAAGTATAAATGATCAACAATTGAGGATAGGGAGACTAGAACAATAATGATGTCATGGCCGGAAATAGGGAAGTTAGTAAATGGAGGGCAGTTTGAGTGGGAAGATACTGAATTGTACATATTAAAGGATGATGTATCTTTCTTTTAGTCAAAAACACCAAATCCATTGTTTTTTTGTTTTTAACTAACAGAAAACACAAAACAATGGATTATCTATGTGTAAGATGTACCATTTTAGGGAAGCTGGCTGAAACAAAGAAATAAAAGTGCTATCGAATGGATGGAAATAAAACGTGAGATCAGTGAAGGATGGAGGATTGCACCTTGAGGCAATGAGAAATCTGTAGAAGAAACCAAGAAAGAGTAAAGAAAATAAGGACAGTATAATGGCCCATACCACACAGAAAATAAAAGATGTTTAAGGAGGCAGGTTTCATCCATATCAAATGCAGCCATAAGTTTTAAAACAATAGAGGCTTACTTCAGAGTCAGTATCATGTGAGACACGGGTTGGTCACAGGTTGCAATAGATGGTAAAGTTATGGAGAACACTAGTGCTGGAAAATAAGTTTGTTCAGAAGCCTGGCCTGGAGGCATGAGTAAATAAGCAGAAGTACACAAAGTCCTGTAAGAGTTAGTTGCCTGTAACAGTTGGTAAGGATATTCTGAGAAAAACCTATCAATAAAACAGGTTGTTTCTATATAATGAAGATGGTTTTGCTTTGAGGGTCTTCTTGGTTCCTCACTGGAGGATTTTGCTCTCGAGTTAATGGCTACAGCATTCTGCCTACCAGGACGTGGTCCTGCCAAGTCAAGGGAAGCACCTACAAAAGACTTATGGAGCCTCTTTTATTAGCCCAACTAGGACACTCTGAAGCTTCTGAGTAATTAACTTACTTTGCATGGCTGGAAAAAATGCCTTTGGGATGCCACATAATTTATAAATGACATGCCTATTTCTTATTGTACTATACTACTACATTTTGCCATCTGTTCCACAAATTGTGGTTTGTGGATGCCCGTTTCCACACCTGAGTAATCACATTGAAACTTCATCTATCTATGCCGGGTCTGATCAAGGCAGGGAAGAGCTGAGTCTGGCATTCCTGGCCAGGACCTATCACGGGGACAAAAACATGCTTATCATTAACAGCCTTTATTGCCAAAGTGTTTGTAATTATTGCCTCTACATTTCCTTTATACTGAAAAAGATGAATATTGCTTTCATTTTTGTATTCTCAAGGGTGAAATCTGTCAGCATACTGTGAACCACCTTTATACCATTATCAGAAGATCCTGGGCCATAGGAAAACATGATTGTTTGTAGTTAGATGAATGCATAGAAGAAAGGTAGAGGTAGATATTGATAGCACTGTGCAAAAACTCCTCACCTATTTTATTTAATCTTCACAACAATTTTTCAAATTATTAAGTTATCTTCATTTTACAAAGAAAACTAAGGCAAGAAATATACATGGAATGCCCTAAATCACGCAATAAATAGTGGTGCCAACATTTGACTCTAACTCTGCCGAATGTCAGATCATTTACTCACTAGTCCAGCTATTTGTGATAAAACATGAGCTATTCATTGAAAGCCTTATCTTGCTCTTCTTACTCTGAATTATACTTATTTATTTATAGAAATAATGTGAGTAATTTATTATATCAAAAACATGACAAAAGACATTTGAGCACTGAAAGTATATTAAAACTTAATATTTGCTAGACTGTCTGATCCTTTAGAGCAGGAACTGGATTTTACTTGTTTATTTTTTAATCTCCTGTAAAGGATAGCCTATGAAAATGTAAGGGATGTTCACTGAATTGATTAACTGATGAATTTTTTTGTAAGAAGACAAAGTGAAAGGAGTCCAGTCCTCTAAAGAGAGGTCCTTGTAGAAACATTGGCCACTACACTCTGGAGGGCATAATAATTCCTGAAAGAATGTGGGAAGTGGTATTTGTTCTGTCCGTGGAAAAACAAATGTTAAAAAATAAATTTTAGGAATTTTCCTTTCGCTCTTACTGTGACTGCTATACTGAAATGTATTTTTTCTAATGATTAATTGAATCATTAGGGAGAAAGTCCTCTTACTTTACAATATTGATATAAAATGATCTTGAGGTCATTGATACGAAGTGACCACCAATGTAAATATCTTCAGAATACACACACACACACACACACACACACACACACGCACACAGATGTAATTATTTAGCATCTTTGTGTATGTATGATTTTCAGGGTTTCATTATGTGACAGTGAAAATGAAAAAACTCAAGATAGGTAGTGGAAAGGGTGATGGATTGTTGTTTTCTCTCCTGTGTACTTCAGTGCCATTTACTTTTTTGTTCTTGCAGGTGAAGACAGATGACAGAGTGGTTAAGATGGACCTTGGTTTACTCTTCCTAAGGTTACATAAATCAGATGCTGGGACCTATTTTTGCCAGACAGTAGAGCATAGCTTTGTCCATACTGTCCGTAAAATCACCCTGGAGGTAGTGGAAGAGGAGAAAGTCGAGGATATGTTTAACAAGGACGATGAGGAGGACAGGCATCACAGGATGCCTTGTCCTGCCCAGAGTAGCGTCTCACAGGGAGCAAAACCATGGTACAAGGAATTCTTGCAACTGATCGGTTATAGCAACTTCCAGAGAGTGGAAGAATACTGCGAGAAAGTATGGTGCACAGATAGGAAGAGGAAAAAGCTTAAAATGTCACCCTCCAAGTGGAAGTATGCCAACCCTCAGGAAAAGAAGCTCCGTTCCAAACCTGAGCATTACCGCCTGCCCAGGCACACGCTGGACTCCTGATGCGGTGAGACTATCTACTGTCTTTTGAAGAATTTATATTTGGAATGTAAAAAATAAATCATCCAACTTCTTTGCATTACTTAAAAGATATTTCTGTAATACAGGAATGACTATGAAGGTGTTACAATAAATTATTCTACATACTCATTTGACTGGATAAATTTCACATAAAATTAACTAATTTTTTAAATAAATGCATTGCTTAATGGTTTCTCATTATGTTTATCAAAAAACAATATAGTTGTAATTTTCAGTACTTGGCTGCTTTTCCGTGAAGATTATTATTTTAGTTTTGGAAGACTTAAGAGTATTAGAATACTGAAGAAAAATTGGAGAATTTTATAATCATGGTAAATATAAAACTAAATGTGTTTTAATATTTCAGAAGTTTTCTTTTCCACCACAATGTAAGATATGCAGAATACAAGATACTTTGTCATTCTCACGTGAACTTTCTGTACTCTTTAAGGATTTTTTTATTAGTGTTGTTTAAGTCATGAGTGTTAAGTAGCAGGTGTGTTGTGACTGCTGTAACCCATGAAAGGAAAAATGTGGTCGTTCTGAGGCTTGTGCCCTTCGTAATATATTCATTAAAGCATACTCACAATATTTTTGCTTTATAACACAGTCTTTAAATTTCACTCACTGTGGAAAGAAAAACTAAGGTAACTTCTCAGAAAGATATCAAAGAATGTCAAATCAGATGAAGTTATAGTTAGAATTCTAACTACTGTAAAAGATTTTTGCTGCCCTCTTGTGGTAAGAAAAAGTATATTCTCACACATTTCTTTTTTCTCTACAGATGGATATCTGTTTAGGAAAGATTTGAAAGCAGATTATCAGTAGATACATCGATACATCAAGTTCATTTGCAGAAACAAATAACTGAAATTAAAAAAACACATTGATCCTTATATCATACTTTAATATGAAAGTATTGTTTATAATTTATTATCTCACAGGTCAAAAATGGAGATTTTGTGGCACTGAAGGTCTATTAAAGCCCCAAAGTTTAAGTTTCCAAATAATCTTCGCTGAAATCTAAAATATATTATAACAACCATGCTTTATTTGTGAAAAAGTATTAAAGTGATTTGCTCTCAAATACCAAATGTTCTTCTCTATTTTATATTAAGAGACAGGAAATTGTTTCACGAGTTCACTTAACTACTGAGATATTCAGAGCATTTTTACCTCCCTCTTAAATATTATAAAAAGAATTGTAGTTTTGAGAATGTTTATTTATCAAAGTCTTTCCTTCTCCTATTAAATATTTAGCAATTACTTTTCTCAAATATGAAATTTTTATAAGATGTTTTCATCTAAATAAAAATTGAAAGCAAGTGGATTACACAGGGTAACCATTGTGAACATTTATTTAGATATTAATCTTAAATTGTGTTTATTTCAGTTTTCAAAGTTAGCTTATAGGTTATAGATTTCAGTTAAAGTGCTGATAACTCATAATCACTTGCAATTTCATTGTAAAATTAACAAATACATAAATATTTTAAGAAAAATTTGTTTGTTCAGATAATTCACCATGTTTCAAAAGATCTAAGAAATGCAAATATCCTGAAAATTGACATCCTCTGAAAATTCCACTTGCTATTTACCTAAGAATCCACTGGAGGTCATTACTGCCATTAAATAATAACTGAAAAGACTATGTATTGAAATATATTTTTAAAACTATGTTCAGTAAGAGCCTGCTCAATTTGGAGAAAGAAACACAGATCACAGGGGACTTACAAAGTTTATATCTGAACAAATAAGTCAATTAAGTACACTTTATTGAAAATATTCTTTCATTAACACACAAGAAAGAAAGCAGGATTTTCTCCTGTATGTGAATTTTAAATTTAAAGAGTAAGGCAAGTGAGACATAAAGAGTTATCATTTTAATCACAGTAACACAGACAAGTTGTTAATAATAATAACAATAGTGTAACTTGTAAACTAAACATTTGGTAACAAGCAATAGGCAGAGGAAAATAGCTTTTCTATGACACAAGTCATACGTACATTCACTGAACAGCCGTTTGATTAAAATAAACTGATTATTAACCAGAAAAGAAACATTTTACATAAAATGCTAAAATTGATTATAGGAAAATAAATCAAACTCAAAGAAAGTTTATACAATGCTAATTTGAAAGAACACTGATAGGAAAACTTTGAGGGCCCAGGTCCACAATTTAGGGAGACCACTAAATTTTATATATAATTATACACACACATATGTACATATATATATACATATATATATATAATCTTGCTTCCTGCCTGTTTATGGCAGTACTGAAGAGAACTGGGAAAGTAGAGGGAGGGAGAGAGAAAGACGAAGAGAGAGAGAAATCAGTTTCCAAGGGTATGTTTCATGTCCCACCATTTTTTCAGTTTCTCCCTCTCTCCCAACACATGCGTGCACACACACACACACACACACACCCCTCACATACTATAAAATAAATCTTCACTACCCTATCAAAATACAAACATATCAATCTATGTTGTTTTGTCCTTCTTGAGAATCTAAAACATACCACAAAAATATATCCCCAGTCTTTTGTTCTGTCTGAGGTTAGAATTCATTCAAATTCAGAATCTCTTTTGAGAAATGCCCAGGCTTAGAAAATTAGAAATGGATGGATCTTCTCTGAACTCAAGGAGGGGACATACTTAGACACGTGCAAGACTTGGAGGAATTAAGAGTTCACCCTTGCTCTCACCAAATTTTCCCTATTTTTCTCTTTTTTGCAGAAGGAGAGAAACCATGCTCTCTAACATTGAGCAAAACTCATAACCACTCATCCTAATTTCTAAGGGGCGCCTCCATCTAGGGCCAGTCTTCTGCTTCTTTAGACCTCTTTTATCTTTGTTACAGGAGAGGACCTGTGGATGGAAAGAGTTTTGACATAAAACAATGCCCATTCACTTGCTCCTTCAGCACAATGTCACCCATTGAGAAACAGATCCAGATTTGTTAACAAGAAAGATTTTACTTCGTGATTTGTGAGGTCTCTTCCATGTCTATAATTCTACATTGTTAATTTTTTTCTTCTGTGTGAATTACTGAATATTTCAGTGCAAAGCTATCAACTTGGAGAAACAGGGATTAAATAAAGGATAAACACTAATAAGAGCTCTAGAAAAAGGGAACAGAAAGTCTTTGCCTGTTTAGTAAGTGGCAATTCCATATATATTTTAGAGTTTTTTTCTAACTAAAATTAAATACTTAGAATGTTTGTAATGAGTGTTCAATATTTGCTATAGGTTTTAGGGTTTTGTAAATCTTCCTAGTAATTATGAACATTTGTAAAATTTGTAAAATATAATAAATCATTTTGAGTCTTGGTGTTAAGCATGAAACAAACACAGCAGCTGTTGTCCTTAAAAATGAATCAACCTGTGACATCTGTAGCCTAATAAATATATTAAGAAAAGTACTTAGTATTGTATAAATATTTTGTTTCCAGGAGAAAATGCGACACTCAAGAAGCCCATATTCTTTTTCTTACAGCACAGCATTACACCGAGTTCCATTTTAAAGAAGGACTCATTTTTCAGGCCAACAACTGTTGCATTTGAATCAGATATAAATAATAGATTTTCCACAAACACTCAGCTGATTGTAGCAGTGCTATTTAAGCTGGTATGTTTATTTTTGTTTTCTTGGAAGGATAGCTTTATATTTTGGCTTTCATGATAAATTGATTGTGTTCTGCTTGTGTTTAAATGACTTAGTTATAAGCTAGAGCACTATATGGCAGTGCTCTTTTCTGTATGGTATCCTTTTATTTGCTTGGCTGGGTTCATAACAGTATGGGCCATATTCTTTCTTTTCACTGATTCTAAGCCATGAGACTTATTATCATCTGGTGGCAAGCTGCAGGGCCCATTAACGGTGTGTCTCTGACTATAACGTGGATCTGCTACTACGCACTACGTAATTTGTCTGTACCATTGTGTACAATCTCTATTTGGCTCAACTTCGATGAAAAAGAAATAAATATTTGCTAAACTCTCACGTGTCGTCTGGGGAGCATTTTCTAAGTTTCTGCCAACTGAACTCAAGTTTTTCATATTAAGCCTATATGTCAACATACAATGCCAGACGACCACGGGGTTTTGTTTTTTTTTTTTTAGAAGTTAGAAAAGAATTCCGTTTTCTTTCCTGTGATATTTATAAACCAACTTTCCTACAGAGGAAAAAGTCTGTTAACCTCATTACCTTGTAGCAATTGGGTTTATTTATGCAACCCTGTGTTGCTAGGACCAACAGCCAGAAATTCCTTTCAAAGCTTCATCATCCAGATAAGAGATATGAAAAATGAAAGATTTTAGAATGGTAACTAGTTGAATGTTTACGATTTTTGCAAGCCTCAAGTTCTAGCTTAATGTATCTGAATTGCTATTTTCTCTGTTATTTTTATAAGACCTTGGGAAGGTCATTTAAATGAAGTGTGGTGTTAAGTAAACTTTTGGAGGCGCATTTTGTTTCTGAGGCAAATTTTATTGTATTGGTAATAATTAGTTACAATGTTTTAAAAGAAAAAACTGGCATTGTTTTGAAAGAAAAAACTGGCAGCAGCTCATGGAGTGTGTCTCTGGCAGCTTTCTGGTGTGACAATGACATTAATGGTAGTTGTTTATCATATTTCAACCTTGCATTCATTTATAATATAGGCCTACTTTTAGTATAGTATTTGATGAACTAATTGAAACTGTTCTTCAGATACATTTTCAGTCTTTAGTCAAAGGAAGAAAAGAGACAGTTATGGTAACTAGAAATCTGTTGCTTACTATTCAAAGGAAACAAAAGTATCCACCCATCTTATTATTCAAAAATGGTATGCCAGGCACTGAACCAGGCACTGTATAAACTATAGAAATGTTAATAATCCCATTATTACACAGATAAACAAAAATTAAATTATATTTTTAGAGAGTATGTTTGCAGTGTTTATTGGAAAAAAATCCCAAATCTTCATTTTACTTTATAGTACATGAAATGCAAAAACAGTGTCGTTTAATACAAGCATTTATGCTTTCAGAAGTACAGTTGGTATACACAGGGGATTGGGTCCAGGGCTCCCATGCATACCAAAATTCATGAATACTCAAGTCTTGAGGTCACCCCTGTGAATTCAAATACAAGAAAAGTCCCCCACTCTGTGTATGTGTGTTTCATTTCTTATAAATGCTTTATTTTCCATCTGCATTTGGTTGAAAACAATTCACATATACATGTGCCTTTACAGTTCAAACCAGCATTGTTCAGGAATCAACTGAACTTCTAATTATGAATATTGAGACTCCTGGTCAGGATGGCATTTAGAAGTCAGGCTTGGATTCAGAGGAGTTGCAATAAAGTAGCAATAATAAATGATACATAAAAAGATAAATAATTTAACAAAAAAGAAAGAGACCAACATAGAAGCCTAACATCTTTATGAATCTGCCCTACATTTGCCTCCTTCTCAGCCATCTTTACCCAACAGCCAAAGTCATCTTTCTACCACAAATTTGATCCTTTTATAACTCCACTTGAAGCCATTCAATGGCTTTTGCATGGTTGATATGGTTTATTAACCAGCAATGGAACAGAAATGCAAGGCAGTGATTGGGCTTGAAGCCAAAACTCTGGACATGTGTTCAGCAGAAGATAGTGGTAGCAGGAAACCCAGATCCTGCTCAATGAGAGGAATACACATGATAGATGCCAGGTGAAATGTTAGGGCTTTTCACCGCTTTGGTCGATACAGAAGCCTGAAATCTGGGTACCTACCATTGCCTGGGGTTTTGTCATATAGGAGCTGCATGTAAAGCCATCTAAGGCTAGGACACAGACTCATTGCAGGTCCCAGGACTGACTTATCCCCTTTTTCCTCTTCACTTCTCTTCATGACCTGGGATCCCTGGAGCATGAGACTACCAAGTCATCTCAGTACTGGAGCCTAGAATAGCCAAAGAACCTTTTCTGGTTTAGTAGCCCTGAGGTGGGGATAAGGAGGTGGAAGCAAAAGTAAAAGCTACAGGCAAAGTACTATAGACTGAATTCTGTCATGTCTCCCTGGTCACCCCCAATTCACATGTTGAAGTCCTACCCCTCAATGCGGTGGTATTTGGAGATGGAATTTGGGGAGGGTAATTATGGTTAGATGAGGTCATGAGAATGGGGACCTCATGATGGGATTAGTAGCTTTATAAGAAGAGGCAGGGAGGTGGATAGACAGACAGAGAGAGAGAGAGAGAGAGAGAGAGAGAGAGAGAAGCCTGGAAGGGTACCCTCTGCAAACCAGGAAGATGGCCCTCACCAGGAACCAAATCTGCTGGTACCTTGATCTTGGACTTCCCAGCCTCCACAGCTGTGAGAAATGTGTCTGTTGTTCAAGGCACCCAGTCTATGGCATTTTATTATAGCAGCCCAAGCAGATTAATACACACAAGAAAGCACAGAGAAAGGTGGGGAGATTAAGGATAAACAGAATATTTGAACCCACAAACAAAATATTTCAAAACATTTCAAGATATTCAAAGTTAAGTAAATAATAGTATCCAGAAAAGGTGAAGAAAAGTAGCCTCAAGTATGACGTTCTGAAGGCCCATAGCTTTTATTAATTGTTAAAAGGATAATTGGCCCAAAGGTCAAGAACAATTGTACTAACACAATTTATCACATTATAAATTAAGACCTATGACCAATGATGTTAAACAACTTCTTAAAGGTGAAAAGAAGATGAAGAATGAGAAGAGAAAATAATTCTGTCATCAAATGTTGTATATTCTTGTAAAGAACACACTGTATGTCTTATAAGATGAAATTTAATATAAAATACTGTGTATGTGCCGGCAGAGGCTCAGAGTGTGACTATAATCAGAATGAAAATTTGTATTCATCGTAGTAATCTATAGATCTCTTGGTTCATTGCTCCTAAAGCCCAAGATGAAAACATAAAGTTCACTGCTTTAGCTGAATAGAAGAATAGATGAATGAGTGGATGATGAATGAACAAATAAGTCAGAGGATAACATCATTTAGATTCAAGTAACAAAATACAAGTAAAAAGTTATTTAAATGAAGAGGATAAGTATTCCCTAATGTAACTAGAAATCCAAAGGAAGGCAGTCTCAGGGCTAGTTAATTCGGTGACCAGAGGAACGTTTTCCAAAGCTCAGGTAATTTCCATATTTCCTGTCTGCTGTCCTGTGAGTTGGCTTTGTCCTCAGGCAGGTGCTCTAGATATCTACTTTTTACACCCAAACAGGTACAAATAGTAGTACTTAAGATTATCTGCACATCTTCTACCCCAACCACACCAAAGCCCCACAAGACTTTACCAGGATTGGGTAAATAACCATATCAGGAAATCTGGAAAAGCTCATTTCTAATCTTATAATAGAAGACAAAGTATATCTGTAAGAAAGAGAGCGGGAGAGACAGCTGTTTGTTTAAAAAACGGCAAGATCAGCTACAGACATCATCTATTGAGGTAACAAAAAGTAGGTGGAAAACCAACATTTGAATTAAAATAAGTAACACTGGTGTGGGATAGGCTTTTCCTACTTCCTGAATTGAAAATTTAGAGAATTAACTCCCAACTTAAGAATCCAAGTTTTGACCAAATACTATACTCAGACAATGCTAAAAATATCAGGGTTTTTTTTTTTGGTTTTTTTTTTTTGTAAATTCTACATGTTTGAAATTCTGCTGCAATAGTTTGTGAGAAAGTAATTATTTGAGTGTGCTTTCTGAAGATAGGTTAATCGTGGATAGATTCATTATAAATAATTACAACAAAATCAGAAAAATATGGAGACCACAAAGAATATTCAGTTACATTTTACAAGACATAAAAAGACCGTACATTTTTTTCTTGTTGTGCAATCTTTGAAGAACAGATGGCAAAAGTGGGGACACTTCAGGAGCACTCTTAGAACATCTGTTCCTGTCACTGTTAGGAAATTTAGTCTCATGGACTACAAAGCAAAATCTCCAGAATGTGTGAAAGGAGCCCTGGCCTGAGCCAGAAGATCAGAGCTCTAGTTCTCATTTTGATAAAACTAGAAAAACCTCTTCGTTTCTTTGCTTCCAAACATGTAAAATATATTTCAGCTTCCAAATACGTGAAATGAGGTGGTTGGACCAGATGATTTTGAAACGCATACCATTTATAACATTGTTTCATCCTTTAAAATGGGATTTCAATGAAAAGACCATGTTCAAATATCTTCTGCAGAAAAATCCAACACTTTAGTATGGAGACCAAATTACCTTTTCTTTAATTTTTTTTTACAAGTTTATTGATGTATAATTGATGTGAAAGAAACTGCACAAATTTAAAGTATATGATTTGGTAAATTTTGACTTATCTATACATCTGTGAACCCACCACTGTCAAAATAATGAATACATCTATTATCCCCAAAGCTTCCTAGGCGCTTTTAGTTTCTCTCTCCACTTCCTCATCCACTACCCAGGAAACCACTCATCTGTTTTCTGACACTATTGATTAGTTTGCATTTTATATAATCATATTTATAGAAACACACAGTTTGTCCTCTATTTGCCTAGCTTCTTTAACTCAATATCATTCTTTCCAAATTCTTCCATATTTTTTAGTTTCCCAATAGTTTACTCATTTTTATTACTGAGCAGGATTCTACTATAATGGATATAGAAAATTTTGATGGACATTTTAGTTGTTTCCAGCTTTTGTCTATTGCAAATAAAGCTACTTTGAACGTGTGCAAGTAATTACATGGACATACATTTATTTCTCTTGGGTAAATACTTAGGAAGGGAATTTTCAAATTGTGTAGTTGATGGTTATTTAACTTTCAAAGAAGCTACCAAATAGTTTTCCAAAGTGATTATACAATTTCACATTTTCACCAGCAGTGTATTAAAGTTCTATTTCTTGTGTATCCTCCCTAACACCTGATATATTGTCTTTTTAATTTTAGCCATTCTATTAAGTATGAAGTGACATCTCATGGTGACTTTTTTTTTTCTTTTTGAGACAG